TTAAGATGATATTATTTTGACATTTATGACTTATCAATAACTTGATGAGTCAGCCTTTTATCCAGTTGTTTGAAGATTGGTTTATGTATGGTACAAAAAGTTTATATACCGCCTACGTATTCGACCTGAGAACGTTTAATCATCATTTAATAGGCCTCTGTGGGAAAGTATGCCACTTAATCAATTCATATACTTTTTATGTACATACACTGTGTCATAAAAAATAAAAGTTCAGAAGGAATATAAGTATTTTGTTGCTAACCGTAATTTAAACGACATTATAATTATTTTAACTTACACAAAACTTCTTTAAGTTTGTTACCATAAAAAATTTTCATTGAATTCATTGCGTACATCTTTATAATATTATATTGAAGGGCCCGATATTATCGACATCTGAGAAAAACTTTTAGAAATCACAAAGCTATGCCGTATATTCTTAATATAATTATGTTTCGACATCAGACGTTCGACTTTCTTTACAAAAAACAAGATTGTGTTTTATTTATAAAAGACGGCGTTGTGTTTAATGTAATATATAACATGTATAAAACATAATTAATTTGATCAACATATCTGATATAAAAACGGGAGTAGCTTCGTTTGACTGATTGCGCTTGTAAAAATCTTTAGAGGAAGCTAATGTTGTGCCGCAAATTGTGCAGCGTATTTTTCCTTGTTGTTGTTGTTGCTCTGGTTTGGGGAATTGTCTCAGGCTATGAGCTTTTACTGACTTAAAGTCATTGATTTTCAAAATCTAAAAGATATAAAAAATCGTCGTAAGCTTCCTGAGTTTATTTTGCTAATGCTATTTTTTTTTTAAACATTCATACATAGACATACATACATACATACATATATATAACTTTGACAAATAAAATATTATAAAAATCAACTATTTCATGCCAATGTATTTTCAACTACATATTCACAAAAGCTGTATTATTTTATGCATAATAAAACAATTTATTTCAAAAACATATGTTACTTAATAATTTGTATTTTCTTTCTAATACATATATAACAATGTCATTCCTTGTTATCTTTAACATAGAAATAATTCTTTACTATTTATAATGAAATAATGCTTTACTCTCATATTACCAACAGTAAAATAAGTACATAAAATAACTTGTTAAAATAGTATAAAATGTTCTTACCTAAAAGATATAAAAAATCGTCGTAAGCTTCCTGAGTTTATTTTGCTAATGCTATTTTTGCCGACTTCAGGAAACGACGAGCTTATAAAGGTTATGTATGTCATAAGACATTTAAAGAGTTAACCAATGAAAAATTCCGAAAATACATAAAATGTTTTAAATTGACCAATTAGAATCAAACATGTATATAACAATCTGTTTACAAATTGACCACTTGTTCTTCATACTTATGTGACATGTAGACTAATTCAAGTAACAACTTTATTGTTTCAAAAACATTAATTTGACATTTATTTGTCTGTAGAATTTGTACATACTGTGTCTACATCTCATTATATATCCTCGGGCATATCAAAAAAACAATGGTTCATTCAATACAGTATCTGATGAAAATCTTTGAGAATTTGTTGTTGTTTTATAACAATAATTTAGACTGAATAATATTTCTATACTAAATAAATATATTTATAATATCAATAATTTCATAATAATATCTATATTTTCACTGCAGAACACTACCTCTCCTCCTAAAAAAACTTTATTCCTATAAAGTTTGATAAAAACATTGAAAAAAATAACACAAATGTAAGCAGCAAATGTATATAACAATAACTACCAATATATATGAAGTTAAGTTACTTTACAATGTTTCTTCTTTTTTTTTTATCAAATCAAAGTATGTAACACAAAAACAAATTGATGTATAACAGAAAACAATATAACACCATTTACCATGTATAACATTTATACAATTTTATATACATATAAAAATTAATATTCTGTGGAAAAGAGGTGTCAACTAGAGCATGTCGAGCAATTGGTTATTTGCAATGGAATAAGCAGATCTTTATGCTGAATATGGAAATGAATATTATAGACTTGTTCCAAAATTCTTCTCAATCTTCTACCTTGAAAGTAAGTAATCTGGACATTTTGTTTGACTTGACACAATGTGTCTGTTATCTTATTAAGTTTTATTTTCTAAAATCATCCCAATCAAAATACATGTATAATGTTGGTGATATAATATATAGCATTGAAACACATTCTACATTTATAGGAATAATTATTTTACAGAAAGATGGACACAATATTTTTTGTACAGGTACATGTACACATTCTTCTCCGGTAGTTAATTCTATTATTAACGCTGTGTTAGAAGTCTTTTTATGACACAGTTTCCAACTGATTATAATATACCTATAGGAGAAACTATTAATTGACACAATATATAATGATTAAGTTCAAAGTTAAAGTTATCCGAAAAAGATGGATTTTCTTGTTGACTCACTGAATTTTGTTTGTAAATAATCGAAGGTAAATTTGATGTCGCTACTCTTTTGTTTATTAATTGTAATACACTTAATATTAATAAAACCTTTCTTAGTTTAATTGGAGTAATGATGAATAATATCAGTGAGAGAATCGCTATCGCCATAGTAACATAGAGTATAATGTCATTTGTTGTTGGCCATGACTGTTCTAATATAATATCGCCGGACAATAGTGGTTCAGACAATGATTGAAATACAAGTTCGTCTTTCTTAGCAGCTTTAGCCATTTTTTCTAAGCTTAAATGCGTTTTCCTATCATCAGCTAATATATTAGACATTTTATGCTGGTATATTGTAAATGCAGGTACATTAACTGTTAGAGGATTTTCAAAAAGTGAATTCGGATCAATGTTATTTAATGAGGAATCGTTAAAAAATTGCTGTAATAATGCTAAATTTACTGGGTGTAATTTTGAAATACTTTTATTGTGACAAGTTGATAATCTAGGAGGTAAATAGAGTTGAGGAGTTGATACAGAACAACCACAGGGAATGGTTATAATACAAAAATTACATCCTTTTAGCATTTGCTTATTTGTTTTACAATTTAGTTCCAATATGTCAATTTTATAAACTAAAATTGAAGTGGCTGATATTTTCTGTATCTTAGGCATTAAATGATTAACTAGAAATCTGAAGTGACATACAGTTTTCACTTTGGCTTTGTCATTTTGAAGTAATGCCAAGGTGCAACTATCTTGAGTTATAGGATATAACATTTTACTTGAGTCACAAATTAGTAGTTTTTTGTTTTGCTTGCATTTTACTGTGTCTTCCTTGGATAGTTCCATGTAGAATTGATTATCATGTGTCAAAGCATATAGGTCAGGTAAATCTAATAATTGGGTTGCATGGTCTGTACTATCATTCACTGGAACTGGAAATGATATCACTTTGTAAAGAGTTAATGGGTGTTTAAAAGGAGAAATTGGGAATTTCACGGAAATATACAATTTGTTTTCTATTCTTGCGTATAGTGTATCAACGTTTTTGTAAACGTCTTTAGCATCGTTATAAATAAGATGGAATTGAGAGTATTTATGATTTATTATAGATTTTATATCTTCTAGAGTAGTTTGCATGGTTTCAAAGGGAATTAAAGATGGAGACAGTATACCGTCAACTAAGCTGTATACACCCGAAATAAGATTATTAAAAATAGATTCAATTCTTCTTGACTTTTCTATCTGTTTTGTTACTAAGACATTCATTGATGAGAATGTTTTTTCTAAGTCATCAAAACTGTCATATAATTGTGATTGAATGTGCGTTATTGCCATTTCGTTTTCTTTTATGCCTGACATTAAGTTGGACATTCTGTTATTTGCAGTTTGCATGTAAGAAGCTAAATGATCTTCATGATGTTGAACAGATGCAACTAGCTTTCGGTTAAGTCGGTTTAAAACATTGATATGTTTAGCCAATAAGTTAACATCATCCATAGTTGCAGTGTTGAACAAACTTTTACTCAAAGAACCAATGAACGGAAGTAAAGACCTTTTACTTCTACTTTTAACAATATAATTAGATTTTCAATTGTGTTTATTGATTCATTTATGAAATATTTGGTATTAATTCTGACGTTATTTATTTCTGTAAGAACCTTGTTTATGTACTCACAGGTCTTTTTGCTTTTTGAACACCCTGATAAATCTACCAAGTTCACCTCTTTAGGTAATTCTACCTCAAAGGTATGCACCCAATGTTCTTTACCCATGTGTATTTTGGTTCCTGGTTCAAAAACAACACCATAATTCAATCTCTGTAGTTCCCTATGTACTGAACACACCGACGAAAATAGAGTCATCATGATGAATGAGATCAGCAGTAATTTTTCCCAAACTAAAATATAAAATTAATGAAAGTGGAATGTAGTTAGGCCGGTTGAATTTGTAGACTCCGGATTCTACTAATTCTAGCACTATGAGTCAGAAATATCTTGTTTAGAGACTTTCTTAGGTTTTGGCTTCACCACATTAGCTTTTGTTTTGTGTGTATCATGTATACATCAGTATATTATATTAAAGTTTATGAAATATTAAATATACATCACCCAAAAAGCATCATGTTTATATATCTAAGTATTTAAACTCTATTTTGTTCTATAATATGTTAACATACCTAAGGGCAACAGTGTAAAACTACTGATTTACATTTAAATTTTATACAAATTATTTGGTGTCAAAATATCTATAAGGCCTGCGCCGCCTTTTACCCATTTTTGTATGAGTTATGTAATATGTTCGTTTTAAAAATTCACTAACATCTTCTTCAAGCACCCAGCTTGGTTTGAATTTTGAATTTTTCCATTCGATTAGGCATTCTTTTTGTTTACCTTTCACTCTTATTTTAAGTATTTTGTTTGCACGGAACCATTTTCCTGTGTTATCATTATTTCTATTATCTACAGAAGTGTCTGTATATGATTTGTTATTTTCATCAGAGCTAAATGTGCTTTTTGATTCACCATCTCTATCAGTCTCATGATTTGTAGCATTTTGTTTATTTAATTGTTGTCAGTATTTATTATCCCACCATTTTCAGTTGAATTTTTATATTCTACCCTATAATTCTTTGGATCATTATACATTTTTAAGTTTTTTGCATTTACTAGGGGTATATGATTTTTGTCAGTTTGACAATCTGCAATTTTATAAGTGTCATGAGGTCCTTTGTATTTGATGTAGTAGATATTTGATGACCATTGGTCTTGTAGTTTGTGAGATAATCCTGGTTTAGATTTATGCACTTTGAGCAGTACTAAATCTCCTTGAACAAAGACGGATTCTTTTGCTATTACATCATGTTTTTCTTTACTTTCTTTTTGTGTTAACTCTGTATTTTGTTTAGCCTGTGTATGAATCAGTCTTAGTCTTTCAAACAATTGCTCAATATGTATTTTTGCGTCTGTGCTTAACGATTCTCTTGGTATTAAAGTAGTGTCATATGGTAATCGCATTTCACTACCAAATATCATTTTAAATGGACTGAATCCTGATGTTTCAGTATTAGGAGATGACCTCATTGACATCATCACTGTAGGTAGTAATAGATGCCAATTTCTTTGATCTTTATCAATATACATTCTTAGTGTTTGTTTGATAGTTAAATTCTGTTTTTCCACGGCACCATTAGCTCTAGGGTTATAACTAGCTGTTTTATGTCTAGAAACTTTATAAATTTCACATACAGCATTTACTAGCTTTGAGAGGAAATTTCTACCTCTGTCACTA